GAAAACAAGACATACGTTAGTAGCTATAAAATTGTTTTGTAAACCAACAGCTACAGCTAGCCATGGAAATCACCATTTTGGTCAGCCTCTTCGCTGTATTATTGACGAGTTCGGAAGGTACGTAATAATCCGTTTCGAGTTTCTTGCGCTTTGAATCTAACTTGTGATTGCTAGTGTAGTACCATTCTTCAAGTAACAAAGTAAAAGAAAATGGAATCTCTATGAAACGGACCAAACTCAGAGTTGTCCTGCTCGTAAAAACAGATGGATCGTAACATTCTCATTTCTTGCCAATGAAGAAGCGTCATAACATTTGGATCAAATGGATGTCATGACCTCCGAGTTTATCGATTGGCATCTTACATGTAGAACCCTTTTGCTCTCTATTCACACACACATGCAGGCTTGTAGCCAGCTTCCTCTAAAAAACAGTTTTTAAGGCGGATTTTTATTACGAAGATATTTTTATGGTTTTGCTTCAGTAAAACATTTCGTTTGTCTACCGTCTTGCACATCCGGAAATATCCTCTGTTCTGCTTGCCCATACCAAGATATTTCAGTAAACATCTATTCGTGACTTCGCGACGGTCGCGTCAGAGTATTGCGTTCGTTTCGTAAGGGTGGATTCATTTGCCACATATACAAATAGCAGTCGCATTTGCCCCAACCTCGTCCCCAGGGCTTTTCCCTTAAAAAATGGGTGGGGCGGGAAAAGGCCCTGGCATCGGCTGGTCACGTGCACAGCCTAAATATTCCTGAAAAGCTAATTTATATGCAACCCGCTGGTTTTGCGCTGGCAAAAGTCGAACGACGCAACAATGGAAAATAATAATATCGCGAACTGTATGTCAATATTTTCGCGTCTGTGCGATTCAAAAGCTTAAGATCCATTTAATTGCGTATTATTCAAAGGCTACAAGTTTATGAAAGGGCGTACCGGCTCTACGTTGTCACGTACAAAATATGTCAAATGCTTCAGAGTTGAGACAAGCTGTTATCGAGTAGTACTTCGACTGAAATTCATCGTGACTGTGGAATTACTGTACGATCATCAAGCGGAAAGTGATTTTGTCCAATGTCAAACAAAAATGCGGGCCTTTGCCTCTAGGATCTGCAGTGAATTTAAACAAATTGAACTTAATTGAAATAGAATTGTTCATCAAAATGCTTTATGGAATCTGGTCTTCTCTACAACCCGACCATGAAACAAACAAATCTCCGCGCCGGATGCAAGTCAGCCCTCCAGCCAGGAACGATGACAGGTCGCCGATCTGAAACATTTGAAGATCTCTTATATCTTTTCTCTTCCGAGGATAAGTATAAAGGATTTTTCTTATATTCGATTGGGATCAACTACAGCTATGTCAATTTTAAATGGACCCAAGTCTTTCTTTGTTACCAGTCGTTTGATACCCTGGTTGCCAGAGACTTTTCATGCGCGGTTTCCGGTTTCGGTTAAGTGTCGCAGAGGTCAATGAATTTTTTAAAAATACAGGTCATACAAGATAAGTCTAAACCAACGCGTATCGCTATGATGATATGGCTGAGAGTTAAGGTGAATGGAACTAGGTTGTGTACGGCGGTCCACTTCGCAAGAAATAAAATAAAATATCAAAAGAGTCGCGAAAGAGAACTTTTCCATGGACCGCGGAGGGGGAGGGGCTGGTAGGGCTATAGCCCTACCACTTTTTTGCTGGGATTTATTTTCTAGGGCTCCAGTTGACATGGAAAAAGTTATCGTGGAATTATTGGACTTTTCTCTAAAAGGTGGACGGTTAGAGCCAGTTGTTTTCGACGGATCCTTGAGAACTATGCAGTTCTTATGGAAGAGTGGGATGTTTGCTTGTCCGAACGATTACAACCCGATGTGCGTGCAAGGATAATAGGATGTAAGACCTAAATGGAACGATTTGACTTTTTCTTTGGTTTGGATCTTGGAGGGCGGCTTCATTCCCGCACCGATAATCTATCTAAGGATCTTAAGGGTACCAAGGTGGCTGCTGTCAGTGGACAAGGCCTGACATTGGCATATCTAACAAAGGAGACGCTCAAAAAAATGCCCAGTGATCAAAGCTTCGACCATTTCTATGCTAATATTTCGCGCAAGAGCGAAGGCCTGCTTGGTAAACAAACGCTTCCACTGAGAGCGATGCACTTCGGCCAGACTGGAGGCTGGTGCTGGTGCCCAAGCTACCCTTAAACTGCCAAAGATCACTTTGGAAGGGTCTATTATGAGGCTGTTGATCTTATCGTCAGGGCTATCTATGATGAAAGCTTCAGCTCCTACGCCCAGATGGAGACCCTCTTGATTACAGTTGCTAATGGTGACGACTGTGAGGCAGAGTTCAAGTCTTGAAGCGTCATACAGAGAAGATGTTGATACAGGGGCGCTACCTGGGCATGCAACTAAGTATCTTGGAAGTTATGTTATAGGAGAAGATAGCATGTTTTGACGAAATCCTGTTGGCGGTGTCAAAGTTTCCAAAACCAAGACAAAGCCCAAACTATCTGTAAGCTGCCTGCTGTAAATCCTGCAACCAGCGCTGTTGACGAGCGTTCATTCTCATCTGCACGGCGTCTGAAGACGTGGCTTCTATCCAGGATGGGTGACCTAGCAGTGTTGAATGGTCACAAGCGGAGAATAGACAGTGTCTCCATAGCTACACAGGAGTTTGTTTCCTGCAATAAGAATCGCAAGGGAAGCTTCGGCACTTCGGGCAACTTCAAAAAGTAGCAGCCTCAGGAGGTTTATTTAACATATTGGTTTTATTGGATAGTATAACACGTGTGGACGTTTATGTTATATTTGTTGAGGTGGTAAATAAGGTGGCGCGCAAATGCAAGATAAATGGCGAAACACCGACCTGAATGTTTCTTTATATTGGCCAGAGTTTTTAGCCCTACCACCTTAAAATGGTCTCCGCGGTCCCTGTTTTCCAGTACAAACTTTATGCATGTACGATAGCTTGTTTGTCATTTATATCGCTCTGTAAAGGAAGTTTTACAAATGTTACCGCTCGCAGTCCCCTTCATAGAAATCGGAGGAAAGCAAAAAATTACCATAGCCAGTATCTGTAACAAAAAGGAAACCTTGTAAGACTTTTCGTTAATCGTCAAGAGATGTAAAAGGCTGCCCAAGATCGCGCGCTGTGAGGTTACGCATAATTTTAGCTTTTCACATAGCGCTAATTTATTACACCCAGGATTTTAGGGTGTACGAGGGGACACGTGACCAGCCGATGCCAGGGCCTTTTCCCGCCCCACCCATTTTTTAAGGGAAAAGCCCTGGGGACGAGGTTGGCATTTGCCCTTTAGAATTTTTCCTTATTAATCTCAACTATAATAACAATAATAAAAAATTCCATTGAGCAGTACGCGTATGCTGCAAATAAATCCACCCCAAATTGATAGGGTAAAGTAAACAAAATGTCTTTTGACTTAAAGAAGTACAGTCTTAATGTTTAGAGCCAGTTCCACTAAAATATAGTGAGTCAGCTCATGCATCATAATTAATACTGGTGTACTCTTAAGGATATATTGTATACCTCCCCGAGGGGGTACTTCTTGAAATTCATGGTGGGGGTGTGCCGACCGGTTCTCCAAATCCTGACCCTATTTCAGACCAAAAAATGTTATTTTCCACACCCGTTTTCAGACTTAGCATTTAGGCCGAAATTATGTCATCATTACCAGATTAGAGAGGAAACAAAAAAATTCTTCAAATGCGTTTCGAATTCGCACATTTCTTCTTCGTTCTTATTCATTTGGAACAGCAACGATAAATATGTTTATACACTCCCGTAGTTCCCTTGTAAACCATACCCGATTCCAGACCAAAATAGGCAAAGTGTATACCCAAGGAGGTGTATACCCGTTTTCAGACCGAAAAGGCCCAAAAACCTACCCGTTGGGGCGGAAAATACCTATACGGCTTATATAAGGGGGTACCCCCCCTCGCGGGTGTATACCGTATGTCCCTCGCGTAGTTTTGTTTTCGTTCAAAAATAAATTGCCACTGATAACTCTCATGGGAAAAGCCAGTTGAGGTAAATGGCATCAGTATCTTACTGAAAAACCAGATTAAGTATTCAGTTTACGTTTTGTCTGTCAGTATAATCTAAAACTGATGTTCCATTAAAGCAGAAGCAAAAATATCTTTTTAGCTGGCGATGTGATTTAATTTTGCCGGTTTCTTCAACTTGAGGCAATGGTTCCAGCGAGCATTTTCGACTCGCTCAAAGGACGTACATCAGTCTATTTGCAGGAAGTAGTAATTTATCGCTCTATAGTGCTAAGTGATGTTTTAGTCGTACCTACAATGTGTTTTTACCTTTAATGCTATCAAACATCTCATCATGCTAGGCCTCTTTTAAATTGGGCATTATCGAAAATGTGACGAACTTGAACGTGTGCCCTAATGGAGATATGTCCAGTGGGCGAAAAAGTCCTAGATGGCTAACTGCGGTCGTTAGTGAATCTGCTACATTTAAGGAATTTTATTTACTCAAAGTAATTCACTTGAAAATAATGTACTATCCATAATTTATTCCAACTTGGCACAGTGCAAAGCACTGAGCTTAAAGCCACCGCGCCCTCTGCTGGCAGTGGCTGGCAGATCATGCAATTATTTGCCAAAGCCGATCTTAGTGGCAAATAATTAGTCTACAGAATACGGGCAATTCACGGTATTTTTGCGGAACGAGTTCTTATTATTCAATAGATATGCTTGTTTTGCTTTACGGAAATTAATTGGGAAATTTCGGGCCAGCATTCGAGGCAGCAGCGACCAAACTGCGCATGACAGTAGCATAATCTGCAGCAGAACAGGTTTCTTCTCTCTTGCAAATGAGCAGACAATTTATCGGTAGATGACGTCATGATATCCATGCCAATCAAAAGTGAGAATATGAAAAGTGATTGTTTGAGACATCTGAACTTGGCTTGAAAGCGAGTGAATTACTGGCCTGTGAACTGCAGGTACTATGGTGTAGCCAAAGTTTACCTTCTTCTTAGACCTTTTTTCGTGTATTTCAGGTAAAATGTCATTTAAGGAACAATGCATTTACTGGCACAACTACTTCCGCACTCTTCATCAGGTAAATTTACATTGTCAAGTTTCAAGCTCCTCTTGAATTCTATAGAATAATATATACAGGAATATAAGAAAGGACCTTCTGAAGAAGCCTCCCACAGGGCTGTCACTAAGGGCCGGGGGGCGGGGAATTTCCCCGGCTACTAAGAGCATGACCCCAGGCTATTTTCTGGAAAACAAAAGAAAAATGAGACCAAAAGAACTCCCTGGCTGTTCACTTCCCTACCTACTAATTGCATATACCCGGCAATTTGAAATCTTAGTGACAGCCCAGCTCCCACTCAGACGTTCCTAGGGGTTCCTTACGCTTCCCTGTGGGGAAGGGACGCGTGACGAACCCCTAAGAACATCTGCGTGGGAGGCTTCGTCTGAAGTAGTCCCTATGATTTTAAAACTCTTGCTTCGTTAGCCAGGACTAACCACGAAGAATTACTGTTCAAGTGTAAAGAATTGGGTAAGGTTTGTAGTTGCTGAAAATGAGTGACGTAACCCTTTAAAGTACAGTTAAACCCCTTTAATGCGGACACTGAGACCCAGGGTGCTGTACAAAGCGCCCGTATCAACGGGATGTCCGTGTTAAGCGGGTTGAATTTAGAGAAAATGTAAGGGCTTTCTTTCACCAGAGACAAAGCAAACTGTCTGTAGTAATAAGGCGTCCGTGTTAAGCTGGACCCAGTTGTTCGAAGACCGATTAGCGCTTAACCAGAGGTTAAATTTACCCGTGATTTCTTATTCTTGCGTTTAAAAGCATTTTCTAGGATAATTTGCTCTATCATTTTTAGACTGCCTTCCAGTCATGAACTTGTAGACACAAAGCACTGAAACTGAACTGTTTTTTGCGCTTTCAAATCTTAATTCAAATCTCGCACTAACCCTGGGTTAACTTAACCCAGCTTCCAACAACTCGGCCCAGGTGTTTATAAAGCGCGGTTTGACTATACTCTAAGTTGTCACAGATGAGAGGTTAGACGGCCGATATATCAAGACTACTGCATTATATGTGGGCAATTTCAGAAGCTTATGGGCTCGTTGAAATGTCTTAATGCCTTTAATTTCGCGTTAGAGTGTGGAAGACATATTTACGTCACTACTTGGAAACAAAAAAAATGCTTTTTCATTTGCTTTAAATCGCTTTAGAATGTAATAACAGCACTTAGTTTGAATACCTAATAATGGGTCAGAGCTTTTTATTGCGCAATTTTCCATCAAGTAAGTGACCTTGCTGGCTACAGAATGAACTCCAAATTCCTTGCACCGAACAAGACCAGTATTTGAAGTTATTTTTTCATTTTACTACTATTATTTGCCGGTAATTTACTCACTAAAAATCATTTTATTACAAACTTATATTTCCAGGTTGGTAATGTCTCGTGGTCAATGGACCTTCAGAAACAGGCAGAGGACTGGGTCAAATATCTGGCTGAAAACGACAAGTTTGATCATAGCAAAAAGAATCCCGGGAATTTATACCTGTCCCATCCTAACGTTTACCCAGCGGAGTATTGCAGTGATGCTGTACAGTGGTTTCATTGGGAGGAAAAGTATTATAATTACAGTAGACCCGGTTACAGTAAAGCAGCGGGACATTTTACAACGGTATGTCACGAGCATTACAAATTTCGCAAAGACAACAGCTTATAAAGATTATTGTAATCCCGGAAGGGGGCGGGGGGGGAGGGATGGTGGCACTCCGGATTTCAAGTGGTGGGGATGGTCAAATGGGGGCAAAAATAAAAACTCACAAAAATCCCTAGGGCTTCCAACACAACCCCCCAAAAATGCCTGGACCAATAATTAACCCCCCAAAAATTCCATGTCTAATTTCTGAGCCTTAAAAATTTCTGGGATACGCGGGCACCACCGCGAATCTTCAGATTGTTTGAATACCCAAAAATATTGCTACCTAAATCAAACCATCTAAACAATACTAGCAAACTTTTCCTACCCCTAAAAACCTAAAATCGAAAATTTCAAACCCAAACCCCCCCCCCTCAACTGGGATTGCAATCAAACAAAGTTCATACCGTCCGCGTGAGCGTAGTCTTGAATAGGACTGTTGCTGACAGTGAATGACGTTTCGACAACCTGTGTGGTAGTCATCTTCAGAGCCAAAGTGAGTTGTATCATGTCACTACCACCGCGCATGTTGTCGAAACACCAGTCACCGTTTTCTCTCTAGATAAAGGAGAACTATCGTGTGTTACATAGGCGGAATTTGGAAGCGATTGGAGTAGTTGGAGCGAGTTTACGGCTGTTTTCCTTCGGTGGATCAGTCGGCCCGCTTCGCTGAAGTGCCCAACTTGGTAAATCCCTATATAGAGAGAAAACCGTTTACATAAAACGGCCACAAATCGGCCCGTTGACCACACACGAGAGACGTAACACACATTTTAAGTAAGGTAAGCTGTTTTTTATTGAAATCCTTTCACTTTCATAGGTTACAGAAAAGATAGGTTTTTTCCCATACAAATCCTTATATTTCGAATGTTTCGCAACAATGCCGATGTTCGCCGATGCTCATATTTTGAGCTTGGGCTACCTGTGGTCCTATTCAGGACTACGCACACCCGGAAAATCATGCTTCACCTACTTATGACATGACGTCTGGGTTTAATCCTTTCACAATCAAGCAAAGTTTCAGTGCCTTTTTCTCCTTCATCTTTTTAGGTAGTCTGGAGGAACTCAAAAGAAATTGGAGCTGCTTGGGCAATACGAAAAGACAAGAGACTTGTTATTTCAATTAAATACCACCCTGGGGGCAACTACATTGGCTACTTTGCAAATAATGTCTTCCGACCCATCGCGACCAGACTCGGTCCAGAGTGGCCGCATCAGCCACCCGGGTTCGCAAGATGCCCTGCAAAGTTCGTTATACCGACAACAACAGCAGGACCAATCACTTTACCAAGTATGTGTAATGCGTTACAAGTGAACAATGTGCTTTCAAACACTCCCCGTTATCCTCAGCAAATTTTCATGGCTCAACGGTTGTTGTATTGACCATCCATCCATCTTCATCTAAGCCGGTGGCGTCTGATTAGACTAGACTCAGAACGTCGGATGTTCTGCTTTCGTCCAGAAATGCACATAATTCGGACCTTAGGTACTTCATACTACCTGCAATGATAACTTCATGTTTGACAGAATTCCTTGGGTTGAGGTTAGGATTAGGGCTACTGAACACTTCTTGGCGTCAATCATAAAGATTAAGTATCTCATTAGAGCCCATTACTGGACATAACAGGATGGACTGATCAATTGATTTTAAATTTGAAAACCTTGTTGTCCACCCTTAATCTCAATATAAGGCAAGACTCAGAGTCTAGTGGCGGATCCAGACATTAAGATGGGAGGGGGGAGAGGGGGGGGGGGCGGTCATCCAGACCCTGAGATGATAAGGGTCTAAAAATAAGGGGGGGCGGGTCCCCTGGGTTTCTCCCCTAGATTCGCCACTGAGACTTTACTCTTTAATCCAGGGGATCATAAGGGACTTGTTTCATTTTTCATCTACTGCGTTATTTTGCTTAATTTCACAGCTCCAAGCACAATACCGTTTAAAGACCAATGCCTTTCCTGGCACAATTATTTCCGTACCCTTCACCAGGTAAATTATTATGGACTGCTAGGCTGGGAAAGGGAAAGGGAAGGGGAATGGGGAAATTGGGCTTGAGTCTAAATCCCCATCTCCCCCTCTCTGAAGCGCGCCTGTAATGAGGGCGAGATAGAGGCGCTAACTTATTCCGTCCTTATTTTGTAACAAGAGGGCGCTGGTCAATTTCCCCAAATTTCCCCGCTTCCCTGAAAAATGCCTGTCTAGCCTGCGAGCAAGCTCTCCATTTGTGGCGTTCGCGAGAGTCATCATCTTGCGTCTAACAGTTCGAAGGATTTAGTTCACTCTCATCACTTCATATTGGATCAACATTTGACAATCTTTATGGCTAAATGATAATCTTCATCTCCGGTCGTTCTGGGACGCTCCAGCCGTCTCTCAAAACCGAAAAGAGACCCAGGATTTAAATACATGCACTTTTGAATATGCCAGCTTGATCGTGAAATGGCCACTGCAGAAGTCCCTCCCATGCCTCGACCATTGCCACAAGGATCCAGTCAGGAGCACCGGGCGACGTTTTTCTGTAAAACAACTGTTCGAAGGAGCAAATATTGCCTAGAAATTTCTAAAGCTTGAGAAAAGCTAAAAATTTCTGGATAACCGTTCCAAACGTCTAAAATATTCGGAGGTTTTCTAATGGCTTAACTACGATTTTCGGAGGTTGTGTTATTCACATTTTAATACCAAGATATTACGATTATAGTTAAAAAAGGTCTCCTAAAAATTTCGGTCCAATTTCGTCCCCCATAATTTTCTAATGAAAGCAAGGCTACTTCATGTCCTCAAACCTTCGACTGGACCCATAACGGTAGCTAACACTTTCGGATGAGACGAAAAAGGCACCTAAGACTTTCGTGACAACCAAAGTTCCCCTAAGACATCCGAACAGATGAATCGTATTAGGAAAACTCCAAATTAACCAAACAGGCTTCTAAAGCACAGAGAAAAACTTGAAACATTCGGTCGTTGTGTGCCCCTGATCTAGTGCCGTTTTCTCGCGGCTCGTTTCGCCGTCGCCTTAATGGACCATAATTGGAGAGTTTGCTCGCAGGCCAATGCCTGTCAGGAGGGCGAGATAGAAGTGCTAACTTACCTCATCCTTGTCTATGAGCAATATGACATTTGTAAATACCGGGATGGAGGTTCCCTTTACGCAGATTAGATAAATATAAATATGTTAAAGAAGCGCCAACTTATTAGTAGTAATGGGAAAATTGCATAGATACTGTCTATAAAGATTTGAGCATGTCACTAGTGAAAATTAAATATTCATCAGAGAGTCTAAAGCGGGAAAACTTTGACAAAAAATGTTTCTTCCCAATCAGACAAATTTAAGTACAAATGTTCATAACCGATTTACCGGTTAAAGAACTATGAGTGCCTTTTTATGCAAAATCACATATATAATGATTGATTATTTCATAAAGATGAAGGCGAGATGCGGTTATTAAAACTGTTTTTCATCTGCCACAAGGTTCCCTATGTTACGTGGTCAAAAAAGCTACAAAAGGAGGCTGAGGACTGGTTGAAAAATGTGAAAAATAGCGCGATTGAACAAATAAGCGATTATCCTGGAAACCTATATTTGTCACCGTTTGAAACATACCCTGAGGAGTACTGCAGTACCGCCACATGGTGGTTCCATTACGAGGAACAGTATTATAATTACAGCAATCCAGGCTTCGTTAAGAAAGCAGAAAAATTTACTCAGGTGGGTCCGGTATATTTTATAGATGCTTGAAAGTTGGGTGTGGAGGAGAGTACATTCTTCCAGTCTAATTCGTTTTCTTTCAGCTGAGTGAATGATGAATTCTTGAAAGGTGTTTCTAATTTTCTAGTCGGTGGACCACATCCTATGGTTCTGATGTGGTGTAACCATTCAAATAAAACAATAAAACCTCTTTGGTATTACTTTTCAAATACCGCTTTTAGTCTTTCAGCAATTTACAACATTCAGTTTAGAAAATGGCGTGAATTTTGAGTTTGGCCACTTTTGAAGGTGAAAGGGTTAATACTATTCCCAGGGGCACAGACCAAATCTTAGTCCCAGTCACTCAAATTAAAAACCGTTTTTTCAGTCCCTTCAGAACTCTTATTTATGCACAGTCATTTATCTTAAAAGAGTTCCAGCCTATGAAATTTATACCGTACATAAATTGGGTGACTGGTTTGTTGACGACATTGACCTGGGTTTTGCCTGCGAGCAGGTTTTATAGAAGCAGCGCTTTGTGTGGGCGGTGAAGCACTGCTTCTGACAATCCCTTATTTTTTTTATTTTGTCTTAGCTTATTTGGAAAAACTCAACACAAATTGGAGCTGCTTCGACCCGGCTTAAAGACAAGAGACTTGCTATTCTTATCAAATACAACCCCGAGGGTAACATTGCTGGTTACTTTGGTAGGAACGTTTTCCGACCTACTGCGAGAAAATTCAGTCCGGAATGGGGGCGTGTTCCCCCCGAGTTTACATGGTGTCCAGCGGATGCCGTTCCCAAAGTGCCGACTACGTCATCACCTTCAACAATGCCTAACGTGAGAGCGGCCGCGACAAAAGCAGTGTCCCTTGTTAAGCTATTTCTTGGAGCTTTTATCTTAGTATCGTCAATCTTATAACCTTCATATCTCACACATTTATTGCTAATCCCATCTAAAGGTTCTGTAGTAAAAGGGCAGCTACGTCGAAAGGCTTCCAGCTATATCTTGTGTAGACGCTAAAAATCATAGCCACTTAGTAGTATTTTCTTTTAAATATAGAAATTTTCATTGATTAGTATAGCTAGTCAACGGTCAATTCCATATCCAGAAACAAAGGAAAATAATATATTTTTTGAAAAACCGACTGACAAAAACTATCCATTTCAAAAGTGATTAGCCCTAGGGTGTGGTCACTGTTGTTTAAATAATTTTTGTTATAATCGGCTGTAACGGTCACTTTTAAATTTATTTGGTCTAGTGTACGTTAGTTGATATAAAAAAGTCCTCAATGTTATCACTGCTGTTTGTGTTTTGTTTTTGATTAACAACCATGTCCAAGGAGCAAAATTCTTATTTGCTTTTGTCTACGCCATGTTTTACTTCGCTTGGAAAACGGAAGGGGAGGAGAAGCTCTGGGTAAGAGGTTGGAGCTCTTAAGAAAAAGATATTAAAAAGTGTACTCCAGGTACTTAACCTCGCCCCCAATACTTTTCCTATAGAAAAACGGAAAAGCTCTGGGGACGAGGTTGTCAAGTACCCTTTTCTTGATCACTATTATTATTTTCGTGATATGTTTACTCTTGCAAGCCAGATACATTTGCATGATACAAAAAATTCCAGCGCTTTTTTATATACCTCATTGTCGAACTAATTTTCGAAAATTCTCAATTCGGTTTCAAGGTCCTAAGTTTTTTTAACGCGCTAAGTCGTGAAATTCAAAACAGTGAAAGTATCAGTTTGTTTGGCAAAAGAAGATCCCTTCTTTCTTAGTGAAATATACTCGTTGTTGAGCTACACACCTTTTCTTTTTCTTTATTTTTAAAAATTAATCCATTTTTCATTCAGTACACTTAACTCACATGGTTTACCCTATAGTTCCAGGAAGCCTATAGTGTATAAGTCCCCGGCTTCTATGTAGGTTTCCTTGTCATTACCACCAGAGGGTACTAATGGGGGTACCCAATTCTCAGTTAACTACTAATTTTTTGGCCAAATAGCAGTTCTTTCACTTTCCTACACTGAGCGAATATTATTCCGTTATAACCCCAATGTCATTTTACTTCAGCACGTCAATCACTTTTGGGGGTAGGCCCTACTAAAATCAAGGTATAAATTTACATGAATTCACATAAACTCCGCCATTAGTACAATTTATAGGTAACTGAAAATATAGAAAAGATTTTGATTATCGAACCGTAGTAGTAAAAATAGGTAAGCGATAGCTGTTAAGACTCACTGATTAACCGATTTTTGCTGTAAGTACAATTTAGAATTAGTCATATAATCATCAATATGACACCAGCCTCAGAGATCCAGACGCACCTGTTATGATCTCGTCCTTATCTTCCCTACCCGGTCATGCATGTCCTGCCATAAACTACTTCTTCGTCACTTGCATGATCTGAATCAGTCTCGTACTTATCTGGTTGCTCTATGTCCCGTATCTTGTTTGTTGGGAAACAATATCAATGCCAAAATATAGTCTTAAATAACAAAACTGGACCAGTTTTTTTTGGAATTCACTTGATGCGAAAAAACGTTGTAGTTCTTTAAGAAGATAGCAAATAACATGACATAGTCCCGTGATGCTGTGGTGTAGACCCGCTTTATCTTGAGTTGAATCGCTTCAATAGTTTGTTGTCAAACAGGTTGAAAGTTCTCTATCCAGTAACTCATCACAACTTCTCTTCATTTGTCACTGTTTGCACAAATGGGAGAGACATATAGTTGAGAGTGCTGACAAAGGCATGAAAGTATTTTGAGACACGGGGCAACCCGACTTTTCGAGAATGAAGTCCACCTCGAATTCGTAGTTCTTTTAAGCGATTCCTTTACGGTGGTTCCAAAGTCTTGGGCGTAGTACAAAGCACTAATTGAATGTTTTGTGTTGAAGTGAGAAACCACATGCAGGTTTTCCATCTGCGTTGTCAGAATTTTTTCGTACCACGATACCTTTTACCTTTTTCGCAGACGTACCTTTTTCGCGTATTTCAAAAGCGTCATAAAGATATCCAGATAGAGATAGCTGTAGTGTTATCAAGGGCACTCTTGACAAGGGAGTCGCATAGGTTGCTATAACGGCGATACACATATAAAATGCGTAGGGGCTGAAAGATTGCTGCTGTTTCACGGTCACTCGTACCAAGTGCAGGTTTCTTGTGATGATTTTCTTGACCAACGCGTTGGTAGGGTGGTTTGTCAACACCAGAGGGATGGTACCTGGTTCCCGTCTGGCTCTGAAATGAGCGCTGTACGGAAGTGGCCATAACTCGATCGAGGGCTTGACTAATCATGAATCCGTTGCGAGTAGCCACGGCGTCTGGGAAAAAAACATGCCTTGGCTGTTTTCTTTAAAATTTGTCTTGTTGCTGCAGATGCGCCGTAAGCGGAAAAACTGACTGTAGGGGATAGTTTCCTAAAGACGAGTGGGGTGCAAGGAAGCATAATTAAGGTAAGAATGAGTTTCAGTTGCATTGCAATGTATGCTTGTAACAAGACGATCAGTTGTTGGCTCAAAACGAGGTCGTGAAAAGGTAGCTGCTCATCAGAGATGGAAAAAGTAAACTTTAGACTGGGATCAAAACCATCCTCAAAGGTAACAAAATCTTCGATCTCTTGTCTACTACCAGCGAAGGCTCAGGCAATGTCGTCGATATATACCGCTTGTGCAGACCGGGTGTTCGTCTTGTCTACTGATCAAAGATTTGTTCCTCGATGTGACGGCCATAAACAGGCACACATAGCTGGGCCTAAGTCGACTCCGCATAGCGACTCCTCCGATTTGGCTGTAATAGCGGAGCACCGTGGGTAAGAAAACTTGGTTATCTATGCATCCAAGAAATTTTGGTCCTGAGAAAATCGTCCGTACGCGTCCGTACTTACGTCCACCCATTCACGTAAGCCTGGGTGAAATTTTGCATTTCAAGTACGCGCGCGTTTCGGCTGTAAATCGCATAGCCACCCGGAATTTTAGAGATAAAAAAAAAACAACAACAATAACAACGCCGATTCTTTCTTTCGACTTAATTTTAATATCTACATTGACGCGGATAACAGAGAAAGAGCTAGAGATAAAAAAACAGAGGAGACCAATTTCTTTGGAAGAATAACTTGAAAATGTTATATCGGCGGTGAGAGAATTAGAAGTGCTAGCGGCCTCCAAGGTGGAAATGGGTGGCCACGAAAAAAAAAGTGAACAGGAACACATACAAAATTTCCTCCATAAAACGTGTAACTAGGAAGTTTCTGAAAGTTTCACGTTGTAGTCGTGCAAAATAACTGCAAAGAAATGTACAGCAAAAGTGTGCTGCACGTGCAAAGTTTTTTTTTTGTGCTAATTAGAACCATGTACTGATTTTTTTGGCTCTTTTTTTCTTGCCGTTGCTACTTAGCATTACACGATTTTATATTTTGTTCCATTCAACTATACTGTGAGATGATAACAAGAGCTTCGCTTTTAGCCCTCGCTTAATCTATGTCTTACTTTCAATTGAAAGAGAAAGTATTGAATATAATAGACCATTTTACAGTTGTGGATTTAGGGCCTGTTTACATGGAGTTGGGGACCCCGGTCTAGTGGGGTTGGTTTCTTTTGTTTTCACGCTCTAGGGGAAACAAAACAAAAGAAACTTACCCCACTAGACCGGGGTCCTTGTAAACAGGGTCTTAGCACCCTTGCCTTCGAGTGAATGCGAGGCTGACGATGACCTTGTTTTGATACAAACCTCCTTTGCTTTGTTATGGAAATTGTCCTTGAAAAACACTAGTTAGCATAAAAATAACTTGATTTACATAATAAAGCACGAAGATTTGTATCAAAACAAGGTCAACTTCAGCCTCGCTTTTATCCGTAACTGTAAAATGGCCTTTTTAGAAGGAACTAACTCTGCGAGGCGAACAAGAGCGTGTAGGTGGTTGAAGAACAAGGAAATGTGTTAGAGCCAAGAGGCCATCTCTGTTAGGGATGGTAGTGTACAGGGATTTGATATCCATGGTGAAAACATAATTATGCTCCCCAAGGAAACGAACAGATTCGGTGTTACGAAGCATTTGTTTTGTATCTTTCACATAGCTGGGTAAATTTTAGACCAGCGGGTTGGTGATCGTGTCCTAAGTACGTGGCAATTAGTTCTGTTGGGCAATTACATTCGGAGATGATAGGCCTGCCAGGATTACAAGACGAGTGGATTTTTGGCAGCCGATAGAATCTTGACGTGCGAGGATTATACACAGTGAGATTCACTGCTGATTCCGTTAGTTCACCTTTCAAGATGGCCGCCTTACCCTGATAACCATGTTGTTATGTCAGGGGCACCCAACGTCAATTTTCGGAAAATATCTGTTCGGAAGACGATTTGAGACCTAGAATTTTCGGAACATTTGTTGTAAAATATCTTGCTTGCCTGCCTCTCCTCGGATTTTCGAACATCTGAAAGATGGTATAATTGCCCATTTTTAACGGATTTTTACCCTAAAAAGGTCACCTAGAATTTTCGCGAGCCTTTCTTCCGGCAGAAAATTTCGAAAAGATAAGTTTTGATCCCTATAATTTTCGGATCACTAGACTTCCAGCTAGGAAATCCGAACAGGGGAGGGGATAAAAATATACTTTTATCTACCGACTAAAATACGTTTAACAATGCTATGTTTAAGTGGTTTTGAACTATATTCCCGTTGGGTGCCCCTGTTATGTCTATACTGTAGTCGCGTTGCTTTAAGTCCAGCTTGCTAACCTCTCTTAGGCACTTGTAGATGTAATAGTCTAAGGTCGAGAAGTTTCCGGTAGGTTGAGTCTTAGGCTTTAAAGATTTCGAAGATTTTAGAGTTTGTTGACGTCACAGTTAAACACACTTGGCGTTAACAAAGGCAACCCAAGCTCAGTATGAGAGTTGGGTGTGATACAATTTTGCGTGCCGTCTTTCCTCGAATAATAGCGCTATCCCTCGATTAATCGCCTCCCTCGAATAATCGCCCCCCTTCGACCCTCTTGCCATCTTCTCTTCCTTTCATCGCCTCTTTGTCAAGTTGAAGTGCAATGTGATCCAGCAGAACTGATCAGTGACGATTCAAGCTCTGAAAATTAATCAAGGAACTAAAGTTGAGCCCTGGGATTTGAGCCCATGTGCAGTTCATTTGATGTGATTATTTTTTTGCTTAATGGAAAAGTAATAAATGAAATCTAATACTTAAGGCATGACTTCCAGTGAGCAATATTTGAAATAATAGCCCCCCTCGAATAATCGCCTTACCTCGAATAATCTCCCCTTTTTGTGTGAAAAAAGAAATAATCGCCCCCGGCTATTATTCCGAGACGAGGAAATACGGTAATTAACATAAGGATTTAGATGGGAATCAAGCCAATCTTAAAAGGAAACCTCTCGCTTTATAAGCATGGCGCCTTCTTGCTTCATTTGTGATAATTTTTCTGAACCGATGTGATTTAGAAACACCGAAGCGCAAGAAGTTGCCAAGATCGCATCGGATGAAAGATATTTAACAACTCTCCTCAGGTGCTGAGATTGGGCTGCCTTTTTTTTAACGTCGTTCTTCTGCCGTTTTAAAAAGTCGTTCAAACCAGTTTTGGTTTCTCACAACAGCTATTTAGTTGGACTGTATTTAGTTTGAATTTTGAAGCCAAGACGTGTTACTGTCAAGCTACATTTTAAAAACTGGGCTTAGTAAGACGGAAGCGTTACGTTCGAAACGGGTCTTCAAAGTTTCAAAGTACCCCGGTCACGTAGCGTGACGACTGCATCTTGAATGCGGCACAAACAAAAATATGATATCGATCAATGAATACTTAGGAAGTGATAATCCTTCAATCTTGACACGTACTTGCCCTAATCGCTTTGTCCAAAGAGAGTATGACGTACACAGACGTTGCCGTTCGCATTTGACGCACCCACAACAATTACGAAATTGGAAATGAAGTTTACGAGTGCTGCGTAATGTACCGGTTTTGATATTGGTATAAATGGATATGAGAAACTGCACAGGCGTTGGTTAAATATTAATATCATTGAAAGCATATTTAAGGGTTTGATAGACATGGTCACATGTTTATTAGGTAAGTGATCGCCTTAAATCTCCTGAATCGCATCGCTCCTCAACTGCATGTTCCATTTCTCGCCTAGGAAAACCACTACAGAACACAGCTATGAACGGCATCGCGAGTATCTCGATTGCGTTTGTTGCTTTTTTGACAACTTGTAAAGGTATGATAATCATACGTATATATTTGTTAAATATATTCGCTATTTATAGACCTTTATAATTTCAGGCAAATGTGTGTAGGTCATTTAATTTTACGTATTTTAAAGCTAAAATACATTAGTCCAAAGCCACTATAGCAAATGACAGTTTTTTCCTAGGAAGCTAATTAAGTGCTTGGTCTGTCAGTACCCAATTATTTTAGACTTTCGATATCGGACGAGAATAGGGCAATTTCACTTTTTATAGAGGTATTAGTCACGAGGTCATTGGGATATCTACAAGGATCTTGAACCTTTGAACGACCTGAAATAGTTTTAATTATTAAAAATGTTTGCGCGTCGGAAACGAAGAAAGCTCTTTCAGAGGCTTTTTGCTCTACAAACTGACCTACTCATGGCTCCTGGCAATGGCTAACTAACACAAAGAAAACCTTATAACTTAAACATTGGCAATAACATCTTTCTAAAATGATGCATCTGAGGGTACAGTTGTTTCTTCCGCTCTTCGAACAGACAAAGCCGAAACGACGTTGTGAACAGTGCTCAATAGCTAGTAAATAATTTCAGTCCGCCCAAAAACTAACAGCAAAAGGTTTCGTTTGCTCTTAAGAACCGCCATTTTCACCCATTGCTACCTCCACCCATGAAACGAAGCTTTTAAGCTTTTCATTAATTTCATAGATTAAAAGAAAATAAATATGGAGGCTTTCTACCAATTTGTGTAAAAGCATGCATGCCTTGCGAAAATGGGTACGGGGTGAAGTAGGTTTCGTCTACTTAGAAATAATTCAGTTAAATAATTGGATAACCAAATAAAATCGCAGTATTTAACATTTTGTTTTCGTCGCAAATCTTAGGAAACTAGAAAGAAATAAGAAAAATAACCGAAAGTGAAACATTTTTCATATTTTACCAAGTTGGCATAGATGGGCTGTTCCTTGTGAGTGCCAACATATTTGCCGGCATTTTTTGGACGGGCGCGTCGCCAAAGACGTATAACTTCCTCTCTACTTCACGGCTCGGTTTGTCTTATTACGAATGCCCTCGCCCACGAGAACCTCATCCGTAGAATCAAATTATTTCTGACTGATGGAAAGAATATACGTAGTGTTATTAACAATAATAACATTAACAATAGTTAATAATTGGTAATAAGAATGCTAACGATAACAATGACGATAATAATATTGATAACAATAATGTTGCATTTCAACCTCGTTCCCAAGGTCCTCTCCGGCTACTTGTCCTCCCCTAGCGAGAGACTAGTAGGAAGGACCGTGGGAAGGACGATGATTGAATTTCGGTGCATTACACAAACATTTCTCCGTTTCCATAGGTTTTCCTATAGTTAAACTTATCATTTACCCCTTGACTGAACGTTTCAACGGTCGTTCCACTGTACGCTAATGCGTTTTCGTTCGGTATCGCGAGTATTTTTATAAGTATTAAATGGCGTCGCTTGCGCCCAAGCGGAGGGTTTACAAAACGTTCTCGATTTTAGCCATAATAGAGAAAGTAGTGCGCCCCACCTCAAACTTCTAGATATACTTAACATACATAACATTTTTAAACTCAAAATCTCCTTGCTAGCGCACAAAATCTACCAAAATGAAGCCAATATCCCTGAAGTGTTTCAAAACAACCTCGTAAAGGTGTCTGATATTCACTCACACAATACCAGAAATGCCTCACTCGTAACTTTTATGTACCACGTGTAAGGTCAAATTACGGCAAACACACATTTAAGTTTGCCATAACCAAAACTTGGGAAGAGATTCCTAATAAGATAAAAACACTTACCTAACATAAGTTCAAAAAACAGGGCAAGCCAATTTTACAATGTAGTTAACTTTCAAAGAAACAATGTATTACGACTGTTTCACATAAAATGACTCCCTTAACATAATCGTCCATAGTTGCCATGGCACCAAGCGCACATTTTATATGTACTTCCACTCGTAATATAGGGGTGGTTAGCTCGAAAGCTAAGCTACTCTGATCACCGTGCACTTCTGATCTATCCAAGCCATTAACTTTCTTTTTTCCTTCTTCTTCTTTATTAGTGTCTTCCTACCTTACTATATATAATGTAAATATTTTATAAAAGTGTGAATAAAATTGATCGAATTGAAGTGAATTGAGTTGTAGGATTGAATTGTGTCAATTTACTTAGCATTCTCAATAGCTCTTTGCGAGACAAGATATTTCTAAATTAATTCAAACGAGTTGGATAAGACCGGAAAAAAGAAAACGACCAAGTAATAAAATTAAATATCATTAATATCTCCTGATAAACAAGTGACAAGACGACCCGCCGAAGCTGAGCCGGTCGACTGTAATTTCGGGCAAAATTTATTGTGTCCAAGGTTCAAAAAGCAAAAATTATAACTCAGTATTGTGGGTGGATTCTATAGTTTTAATGAATAAACAGATAGAGAGTTAAGTTGCAAAATGTCCTTATTCAGGATGTTGCAAGTTGATGTTGCTATGTGGTGAATGGCCTGCGAGCAGCAGGCTCACTGGTACAATTTTGCATGGGGAACATTTTCGGCTGCGGAACCGCCAGCGAGAGCTGACGAAGCCGGGAATAAGAATGCGGAATGGGCCGAGCTATTCTTCTCGACGGCTAATGCTTGCGGCTCGGTCGCTAAAATTTTGTTCGAAAGCTCACAAGTAAGATGCCTGCACACAGACGCCGGCTACATTGTGAGGGAAATAAAACACAAAAATTTGGCTTAGCGAGAGCTAGAGACGTCAGCCTTTGAATCTTTTCACGGTATTATTAACTTATAAAGCCAATTTTTTTATCGGATATAAATGACTTACAGTACTAATTTTCATTGCAGTTGCAGGTAAAATGTCCTTTAAAAATCAGTGTATTTATTGGCACAACTATTTCCGCACACTCCATCAGGTAAATAGCTCTAGATGTAAATTCTAGCGCAGATTGGGGAATTGGACAATAATTACTCTGAAAATTCAGAGAAAAGGCTTTTATTTTTAATTTCACGGATCATTTGTATCTTGGGTTTGGAAAAAGGGAATTCCTAGGTGTCAATTTTGGAATCTGGGGTTGAAGGGGTGGTTAATCTCATAATTCAGTCCCTCTTCTTATGTCATTTATATTGATCTATCCTCCTTTTCCTTTCCTCTACTTAATTTCTTCTCAGTTATAAATTACTTTTATTTTCCTCTGCCCGTCTCAATTAGCCAAGCTATTTGCGAGCAGAGGATGTTTGTGTGTACATATATGTCAGTGATTGAGCTAATTTAATTTGTAACTTATGAAGATCAGTAAACTTCAACTTTTAATTTACGTAATTTAATTTGTAACTTATGAAGATCAATAAACTTGAACAATTGAACTTCAACTTCTTCAACTTCACTGGTTCTAAATGTGAGGGAGATAATCTCATGATTTTTGCGTTCTAGAAGTGAGCCTACACCCCAATAGCCTCCCACGCAGGCGTTTTTAGGGAAGCTCGTACAGGCGTTTGTAGGGAGGGAAGAAATACGAACTCCCCTAAAATCGCCTGCGTGGGAGGCTAACACCCCAACCGGAAAAAAAGGCGACACTGTCCAACCTCTATGTGCGACCACCTCTCAATCTTGACCACCTCCAATAAACGACTATCTGCCCAAAACACTCAAATGTTCCTAGTTAAGTAATTACAGTAGGAGACCTCTCTTAAATTAACGACCCTCCGACCACGCAACTCCCACTTGAGGGTAACAGTTCTCTAAAGCAACATTACATGACCTTCATTGGGAAAAAACACTCAAAATAAAGAGGTATATTTTGTCTATTTTCTATTTTAAAGAGTTAAATTTTTGTTTCTTCAGGTCCCCAATGTCACTTGGTCGAAAAGTCTTCAGAAAGAAGCAGAGGATTGGGTCAAATATCTAGCAGAAAACAACAAGTTTCATCATAGCGAAAAGAATCCTGGTAATTTATACCTGTCCCATCCTAACGATTACCCAGCGGAGTATTGTAGTGACGCTATACAATGGTTCCATTGGGAGGAAAAGTATTATAATTACGACAGACCCGGTTATAATCAAGCAGCGGGACATTTCACTACGGTATGAACAATATATTTGGTGTTGGAATAAACATTGACTGAAATAGTTTGATAAATAAATGAGTTATTATTTTTTCAAAAATTTTCCCTTTTTTGACTGTTTCAAATCTGTGGTGAATTTTGGGATCGCACTCGGCGCAAGATTTAAAGCTTGTTCAGCTCATGAGGGATACTGTTGTATTCATTCAGCAGTCACATACGTAACGCCCAGCACTTCAGTGATAATAGAGGCAGAATAGTACGGTGTGGATTACTGTCGTGCGATTACTCTAGTGCTGCTCGTACCTCCAGTCTAGCAGACTACTCGTACTTCATGCCTCGGTTTAAATTTAAAGTGAAATTAATACTTTTTTGTCACTTTCAGCATTCTTTGTTTTATTTGTTTTTTATTTTCAGGTGGTTTGGAGAAATTCCAAAGAAATTGGGGCAGCGTGGGCCATTCGCAAAGACAAGAGACTTGTTGTTTCTATCAAATACAACCCAGGAGGCAACTATGTCGGTTACTTCGGTAAAAACGTTTTTCCACCCATTGCTCGCACTCTAGGTTCTCAATGGCCTTACACTCCACCCAAGTTTACATGGTGCCCAGTACAAGTACGACCAACAACGGATTCCACGGATCCTAATGTGGTGCCTGCAGCTGGAAAAGCGATGATCTGTAGTCTTTACTTGGTTATTGCGTCTTTAATCTTTGCTGATTTAATGTTATGAACTGATTTGATCATGATTTAAGCCTTTCACTGCCAGAGTGTTTGATAGGGTTTTGTAAGCTGCCGACTCTCACTTTTGAGCCTGTGTACCAAATCCTATGATGTGACCACTTAAATGAAAGCTCTCTGCCTGTACTTTCACATGATGCTATTTGTTTCTCAAAATTTTAGAAAATAAAATTTGGAACTTTGGTCGAAATTTGCCTTTGGCGACATTTGGCTGTGAAAGGCATTTGGCTGTGAAAGGGTTAAACGCGAGTCAGTGAAAGCAAGTAGATATCAAGCGTTGTTATCCCTACCTACACACAAATTCTCGAGACTGATCTCCATACATTTCCTAAAGAATGAGTTGGGATAATTTGATGAAAGATCAAAGCATTATTCCTCAGATGTCCTCTAAACCTTTTTTTCTTGATTATGTATTGATATTGTTATTATTATTGGATGATGACTACTTCAATTAACTAACAGCTATAACAACTATTTATTGATGTATAACTACTTTTAGTAAAATCCAAGTAGCTAGTGGTCTATTATCAATGCTGCGTTCTGATTGGTTTAGCTACTACTAGGCTATATGTTATAGCCCACTACTAGCGAAAAGCGCGCGCTTTTTGGCGACTAAGAGCCCATTCGGGCTCGAGGAATAATTGTTAAGTATAATAACCATTTAGCAATCAAGTAAGAACGTCTAACCTGGTCAAAACGGATGCACGCTTTGTCTGATTTGATCAACGAATACTTAATAGACGAATTATTAATTAATATCTTATAGCTGCTTTATCCCAAACATCTGGTTGTCGAGAGGGTTTGGAAACAGTGCAGTAGGGGGTACCTCATAGAAGAACACCCCAACTGTCTGGCCTCTTGCATTGAGTGTAGTGTTTTTCATTTCGCATACTTCATAACCGCCTACTTTGGTGAAAATAAGTAATAGTTAACTGTTAATTAAACAGTTGATTAACCCGCTAGAGACATGTGCATGGATATATTTAAGTGCCACTGCTGTACACGCTAGTGGGAGCAAAGAAAGTCTAAAGCTTACGGGATATTGTGAATAGCTGAACAGAATAGTCAAACCGCAGAATTGTAAGTAGAAAGTAGAATGTCATTATGGAGATTTAAATTTTCGTTAGTTAGCATTTGTCTATAAGAAAAATTACATATTTAATGCCACATCCTTTTAAAGTTTAACCAGTCATATTAAGATAAATAAAATTCATTACTGATCACAAGAACTAGCGATGGACTTTGCTTTTTGCTGGGATGCTACAATTTGTTGTAGCTACTTATCCTTCAATACGGTGTAATTTTTTTGTTTGAAACTCTTTGGACTAAAGATTGAAATTCAACTACTACTTACATCAATGGTATTCAAACATGCGCCTAACTGAAATTCAAAAGTGTGCCATATATTTTAATTGCCATAACATGGTCTAGGTGAGAAGGTGTTAAAAAAAGGTAAGCAATACTAGTACATGGCAGGCAGGGTCGCGCATGGCCGGTACTTGAAGCTAGATGACATATGTCATCCGTGTCTGATAGAAACAACTTTTGTTTGGAACTATTTCAAGTCAACGTGTCGTGCTCACCATCTAAGTTCAGACTCGTGCCCAAAGAGAAGATTGGGGTTCAGTTGAGGCGCCAACCTAAACCCAATCTTTTCACTCGATCCATTCAGCCAACAAACTCATAAATAGCGACTAGGTACTCTCTCCGCCGTAAAGGCCTCTTTGTATTGTAGAGAGGGCTGGAGAGGGGGAAACAGAAAGCGCGCGGGGGATGATGGGAAGGGGAAAGAGAAGAAGAAGCAAAAATTGAATGCATTATATGGCAGAGGATCCCGCCTTTTGCCTCTTCCCATCGTCCCCCGCGCGCTTTCTGCTTTTCGATTATTGCTGTTTTTATTGGAATACCCAGCGGGAGCCTGGTCTATGAGCTAAAGTTGAATGCCTCTGTGTTTGTCATAACTGTGACGAATATGTATTTTTAAAGGTAAATTTAATAATTATGCTTCCTAGGTTAAAAGAAAACTATTTGAGCGATTGAAAATTCTCTTCGTCGCCTAATAACAAATTAGTTTTTATATACCTGTAAACTTTATTACGTCTGTACACTCCCTCATTCTTAGCCCGGAAAAAATGAGCTCCCAACTTGTTACATTAGCTGTGTGTATACTAAAGCCAAAGTCAACAAACAAACTTGAAAGAAACTAACAAAACGTAATTAAATCGGTACTTTTACAAACATTTATAAGCTTTTGAAATGTCAGATAAAAAACAAGTCTGAAAGCTATGAGTGCTTTTACCCATGACGTTCCACACATCATGCTGAGGAAATATGTCTACAACTGACAAAAATCACCAAGTGATTATGTTTAGAAGCCTTGATTTTTTAGGTTGTCTGTTGCTGCTAAGTATGACTGTTCAGAAAGCAGGTTAGTGTATTCTAGAAGTAGGGAAACTTAAACTCTGTACATGCGCAAGATTGACTCAGACAAAACCACTGTTTTCGTTTATACTCATAGAACTCAAATGAAATTAGCCGCTGGAAGGCTGTATTTTTTTCCACCTCTCTTTGCAAATTGCAGTACACGTTACCAGGAGCCCATTGGTTCCTGACGTTACCCAGAAACTGGAGATAGAACATCACTTTGCAGGTCTTAATGAACGAAAATGAAACACTGTAACAATGTGGGAATTCGAAATCGGAAAGAAGTGAAAGTACGCCAAATTACTGAAATTCAATGTTAAACACTGAAATATTTTTTGGGAGAAATTCGTGCACAGAGTCGGCCTTATTCGATTAATTTGCCAAGTTGTATGGAAACCTAAAATACAGGAGGGTTTTGCCGACTGGTTAGCTGACACAGATTACATAACTGTCCATTTGAGATGCAAGTACGATTTGGGACAGCTAATGAAAACTGGTAATTAAAATCAATTGTTGAACTGATCATGAAGATCGATTCTAATGTCTCAGCGGTTAAATTAATTACAAAAAGGGATTTAAAGGCAACAGAAGAAGGAGATAAATGTCCCAAGAAGAGTAAACAAGCTTATCATATCTGCGATTAATTGACATTTATATATCTTTTTTGCTCGACGTTTTTAATAGTCCCTGAGTTCGTTTAAGTTACAACATATTTTTAAATTACATATTGTCTACGAAAAAGACGCTTAGTGATTGTTTCTTTTAAAATAACAATACTAGATTCCTCTGTTGCCAGAATAACCTGAAGCACTCCTCATTGTTTGTCAGTCCAATTCAAACAAGCAAATTGGCGCAATTTTCGATTAAGTGTTCTGTCCATCTAATAGCAGCAATCCAAATATCATAGCTGACCAAATTATTAAATTTAGGCTCTCTGAAAAGGTTTTGTCAAACGATATACTGCTACTTACCAACTCATTGACTGATTGTTCTACGTTCTAAATATCATTTGAGAATGTAAAAAAACTAATTCCCCTTGTGAAACACAGAAATTAAGTCAATTTCGTCGAATTGAGCATTTCGGCAAATGTCAATGCGTTTACAATGCTCTTTAATGTTGGACGACTCTGCTGATTTTATTGGCAGGTTGTTCTTTGCCATGTAAACAGCCTTCGCTTATCTGGCATAACCACTTCAGGAGAATCCATCAGGTAATTTACTTCTAACTTTCAACTCTCTTTCCTTCACGTACGAAAAACTGCCCGAGGCCTCCCGGCCGGGTTTTTGGGCAAGATGTTATAAAACCGCCCGCTCCCGTAACCAATCAGATCGCATGATTTGGAGAATCCCGCCCGGTCGCAAACTTAGGAAAAAACAAAATAGAATAAAATGCAAAGATATCAAAACTACTCAAGATACCAATCAAATATTTGCAATGAATAACAATAACAATAATGGTTCAGTCGGTCACAAAATTTTGAGCTTCGTGTGCTTCAAAAAGTGCATCGATCTAAGATAAAACCAACAAACATGAAACTACGTCATCGTGTTTGTAATAAATAAGAGTTCATAGCAGCTACACGGACGAACACTCCTCGCCATTTTCTTCTCTTTCTTAATTTAAGGATGAAATGACCCAGGAACTGGAAATTTGTGCCGATCTCCTTCCCATCGATGTGCATCACATGGTTTGGGTTTTGTATGGTTATCAAAGGATTAACCTCTGAAGCCCTAATATCCAAATACAAATTCTCCAGACTGATCTCTATACATTTCCTTAAAGAATACGTTGAGAGAATTTGGTTTAAGATCAAAGCTTTTCCCATCAGATGATCATTTCATTAATTCTCACAACATTTTCTCTAGATTATATAATGATATTGTTAGAAGAAAATTGGCTTTGGTCACTCTTACGGCTCAAAGGTTTAAGGGATTGCACGACCGAATATATGCCCCAACTCTTTTTCCGTATTCGAAACACACCAGAGATATTACTATTGATGAATCTTGCTTGTTTTAATCGACTAGTTCAATATTGAATAATTCAGCAGATAAATTTGAATAGAATAATGATAATAGGGAAAAAATTGAACTTATGGAAATAACACCGTTTCTTGTCTTCGTAGGATAATTATTTCTTTTAATGCCAAAAAACATCCTCACTACCTTGTACATTGAATTTAGTGACATTTTGTTTGGAGTAAGAACAAGAAGATCACTAATAGCAAATAGTTAAAGAAGCTTGAAAAAAGAAACAAACAGAAAAAAGCTTTGACTTGAGAGAAAGAGAGAGAGTGTGTCCCAGTCCCTCTCGTACCTGCCAAACGAGTTGCTTCAAAGCAGTAACCAGTGTAGGATGCAGATCGATCAACCTAATGGTAGACGGTTTCTTTAGACCAAGCAGTGGTCCACTAATAATCTAAGGCAGCCATACCGACAAAACTTACAGCAAAGAATGAAGTAAAAGCGACAGAACTTTTATACCTTATCTCCTGAAATGCAGATACTGAGTTTTCCTTCATAGGTTGCTAACGTAACTTGGTCACATGATCTCTGGAAGAAAGCCAACGCGTGGGCAGATTACTTGGCCAGACACAACAAATTCGAACACGATGGGAAAGATCCTGGAAATTTGTTCTTAAGTCCTGGAAGGCCTGCCAAACCTTGTGAACAAGCAGTAAAATTGTTCTACCAAGAGGAGAAAAATTATGATTATAGTAAGCCACGGTATTACCCAAAAGCTGCACATTTCACCCAGGTAAAAACTTCGGATTAATTTAGGTTTCTAGGAAACTGCCCACCTACCCCTCCCCTAAGCCATCATTTTGGCCAAAGTGAGAAGTAAGTGTTAATGTTGACTCAGGGGAGGGGTAGGTGGGCAGTTTCTCAGAAACCTAAATTGATCCACAGCAAATATGGTCAAGACTACCCTGATTTGAGATTAAAAATCAGGTCAGTTATGAAAAATGGCAGCAGCAAATGGTAGAGATAGCCATGCAATTGTCGATTCATGTGAGAACGATGATATTGTTAAGTTCCTGGATCTCTTCTTGATGTTTAACGACTAACGACAAACGGTAAGCTAGGGTTGCGGGAAAAGAGGTGACGCGGTCATCTCGCACTTGCAGTTACAAACGTGATTCTTAAACTCTCCATTATTTTCCTCCTTACGTTACGCCTGTCACTTGCATCTCGCATGAAACGTGTTTTGTGACGTGTCCTGCATTCAAATTTTTATATCGAGGTTTAATATTGTTGTCAACAAGCTCGTAACTTTATGGCTTTAGCAGGGATGGGCCATTTTGGCGACTTTCACCACCTCAGCCGTCTTATCTCCATGGAACTTGATCAGTGCTTGGAGACAAATTAATGAATGTTTAGCCCAATTTTATAACTCTTTCCTTGCCTTTTTTAGCTCGTCTGGAAAAACACAAAGCAAATCGGCGCAGCCAGCAAACGTAGAAAAGACGGCAAAACTGTGGTGGTAGTAAAATATTTCCCGCCCGGAAACGTTGGAGGTTATTTTTCCAGAAATGTGTTTCCTCCGAAAGAGCCCATCTTGACAACCTCCGTTATACATTGCATAACGGCAACCACCCAGGAGGGTCGCCCACTCCCTTCTGTAACCACCTCTGCTTCTAACGTCAGCACTGTCACAACAGATTGTAACCAAGTTGTCACCAAACCAAACGTTGTTAGGGCAGGTGTTTCTGCTGTACTAGAATCACAGAGATTGGCCACGTTTGTTGTCCAGTGGGTGCTTTTTGTTTACCTAATATCTTAAACACATGGCAACATGAAAAAAATAAAGGATAATAAAAACTTAGTTGGTTGTCCATTTTTCATAATAATATTAAGTAATAGACACAAACAACTCGTTTGAAAATGACTGGGGCCTCTCTTTGTTTTAAATTTTTTATTAAAGAAAATGGGACAAATCATTTTCTTAGCGTTTAAATTTCTAACGCTATTTTCAGTTTCCCACTTTAAACTGTCTAGCGAATATTATACGGTGTACAGCCGAAGAACAAGTAGGAAAGTTTAATACCTATAACAATGGTGGAGTAACTACCTCGGGTGAAGTAGGTTCTTCGGTGAAACATTAATCGGAAGTAACACAACTCTACGTGGTTTTGGGGAGTTCAGAATAACCAAAGTCAGGCAGGCGCAAAAACCTTGCGACAAGATTAACGATAATGATAGTAATAATGATGATGATGACGATGATATTAATAATAATAATAATAATAATAATAATAATAATAATAATAATAATAATAATAATAATAATAATAAGTCAAAAGTGAGCAAAGGCTGACCTTTAAAGCGGGGATGATGAATAACTTTCGTAACATCGACCTGAGGGCGCATTTGAGTTCTTGAAAGGTGTTTCCAATTTTCTAGTCGGTGGACCACATCCTATGGTTCTGATGTGGTGTAACCATTCAAATAAAACAATAAAACCTCTTTGGTATTACTTTTCAAATGCCGCTTTTAGTCTTTCAGCAATTTACAACATTCAGTTTAGAAAATGGCGTGAATTTTGAGTTTGATCACTTTTGAGGGTGAGAGGGTTAATACTATTCCCAGGGTCACACATCAAATCTTAGTCCCAGTCACTCAAATCAAAAACCGTTTTCCAGTCCCTTCAGAACTTTTATTTATGCACAGTCATTTATCTTATAAGAGCTCCTGCCTATGAATTTTATACAGTACCTAAATTGGGTGACTGGGTTGTTGACGGCATCGACCTGGGTTTTGCCGGCGAGCAGGTTTTATAGAAGCAGTGATTGGTGTGGGCGGTGAAGCACTGCTTCTGACATTCCCGTATTCTTTATTTTGTTTTAGCTTATTTGGAAAAACTCAACACAAATTGGAGCTGCTTGGACCTGCTTAAGGACAAGAGACTTGCTATTTTTATCAAATACAACCCCGAGGGTAACATTGCAGGTTACTTTGGTAGGAACGTTTTCCGACCTACTGAGAGAAAACTGAATCCGCAGTATGGGCGTGTTCCCCCCGAGTTTACATGCTGTCCAGCGGGTGCCGTTCCGAAAGTGCCGACTACTTCACCTTCAACAATGCCTAACGTGAGAGCGGCCGCGACAAAAGCAGTGTCCCTTGTTAAGCTATTTCTTGGAGCTTTTATCTTGGTATCGTCAATCTTGTAACCTTTATATATAACAAATTCGTTGCTAATCCCATGTAAAGGTTCTGTAGTAACAGGGCAGCTACGTCGAGAGACTTCCAGCTATATCTTGTGTAGACGCTCATAATCATAACCGCTTAGTAGTATTTTCTTTTAAATATAGAAGTTCTCATTGAATAGTATAGCTAGTCAACAGTAAATTTCATATCCAAAAACAAAGGAAGATAATATATTTTTTGAAAAAAAAAGAGTGACAAAAACTATCCATTTCAATAGTGATTAGGGCTGGGGTGTGGTCACTGTTGTTTAAATAGTTTTTGTCATAATCGGCTGTAACGGTCACTTTTAAATTTATTTGGCCTGGTATACGTTTAGTATACGGGTCAAGTTGATATAAAAAATGCGTAAGTTCGCAATGTTATCACCGCTGTTTGTGTTTTGTTTTTGATTAATGACCATGTCCCAGGAGTAAAAGTCTTCTCTGCTTTTGTCTACCCCATGTTTTACTTCGCTTGGAAAACGGAAGGGGAAGAGAAGCTCTGGGTACGAGGTTGGAGCTCTTAAGAAAAAGACATTAAAAAGTGTACACCAGGTACTTAACCTCATCCCCCATACTTTTCCTATAGAAAAACGGAAAAGCTCTGGGGACGAGGTTGTCAAGTACCCTTTTCTTGATCTTTATTATTATTTTCGTGATATGTTTACTCTTGCAAGCCAGATACATTTGCATGATACAAGAAATTCCAGCGCTTTTTTATATACCTCATTGTCGAACTAATTTTCGAAAATTCTCAATTCGGTTTCAAGGTCCTAAGTTTTTTTTAACTCGCTAAGTCGTGAAATTCAAAACACTGAAAGTATCAGTTTGTTCTTCAAAAGAAGATCCCGTCTTTCTTAGTGAAATATACTCGTTGTTGAGCTACACACCTTTTATTTTTCTTTATTTTTAAAAATTAATCCATTTTTCATTCAGTACACTTAACTCACATGGTTTACCCTATAGTTCCAGGAAGCCTATGGTGTATAAGTCCCCGGCTTCTATGTAGGTTTCCTTGTCATTACCACCAGAGGGTACTAATGGGGGTACCCAATTCTCAGTTAACTACTAATTTTTTGGCCAAATAGCAGTTAACTACAATTTTTTGGCCAATTCTCAGTTAACTGTTAATTTTAGTTAGCTTTGGTTAGCTATTATCTTTCACTTTCCTACACTGAGCGAATATTATTCCGTTATAACCCCAATGTCTTTTTACTTCAGCACGTCAATCACTTTTGGGGGTAGGCCCTACTAAAATCAAGGTATAAATTTACATGAATTCAGATAAACTCCGCCACTAGTACAATTTAGAAGTAACTGAAAATATTGAAGAGATTTTAATTATCTAACCGAAGTAGTAAAAATGGGTAAACGATAGCTCTTAAGACTCCTATTAACCGATTTTTGCTGTAAGTATAATTTAGATTACCGTAAAATTCCGAAAATAAGCCCCTCCAAATATAAGCCCCCCAATCCGGTAACGCAAAAAACCCTCCGTTAAATCGCCCGTCCAAATATAAGCCCCCCGGGCGCTTGTACGTGGAAAATTGCCCTCAAATACAAAGTAAAACAAACCAAAACTGTAAATTTACTTCCAACTATAAGGCTAGCCCAATCGATTTTGAAACGCGAATTTCCCTCCGTAGATAAGCCCCTCCGAATATAAGACCCCTTCAAAAACAAGCCCCTCAAAAAGGGCCTTTGAAAAATATAAGCCCCGGGGCTTATTTTCGGAATTTACGGTAAGTCATATACCCATCAATATGACACCAGCGTCAAAGATCCAGACGCACCAGTTATGATCTTGTACCAAGAGAGGATAAAGGGGACAGAGCAGGCATTCCCCATACACACCCTATTCCACAGGTAATTCGTCTCGAGTTATTTTTAGAATCGGGATAAAGTTACCTCGCCCGCTGCGTGGATGTTTCGTGGAGGTTTCGCATGACTAAACGCCGTGCAAAACACGTCCGGCGAAAGGCAATGAAAGCGTAAAGAGATGGAGAGCATTTCTGAATATTGAAGCAAAATGAGTCGGCGCTCACCTGGGACAAGGGAATCGCTAGACTCTTTGACAACCCGTGAAATCAGTTTAACTCGAAGTTGTCGTAACCTCAGTGCTTTAATAAAATGAGAAATTTCGCCGGTCTGTTGAAACCGGTCGTTTGTACAATAAAGCAAGTAGGACGCCAAGTGTTATTTTTGTTGAATAATAAGACTAATGAAGGAATAAATATCAAACCAGAAATTGCTCTCTTCAAACTGTAAATTATAAATGATCCTGAGAGAATATTCAGTGTGTTAAGGATTTCCCTGCTGTACTGTTGGTTCTATACAAGAGAGGAAGGGCGATTCTTTTTTTATTTCCGTTTTGCTGACACAGCTTTAGCAGAAATCTCTCTGTAGCCGTTTTCGTCGACAAAACGAATAGCAATATCGCTCTTCGCGTCTTCCGCCATATTGTTCTGCGTCAATTCGTGAAGGACGCCTGGCTCTGACCGTGGGCATCCACGCGGAACACATTCGCGCTGTGTGATTGGCTGTTGTTTAGCCCCCCTTGGGATCTGTGGTCTTAAAAATAACTCGAGACGAATTACCTATGGAATAGGGTGTGTATGGGGGATGCCTTCTCTGTCCCATTTATCCTCTGTTGTCTTGTACTGATCTACCCGACCTGGCCGTGCATGTCCTACCATAAACTGCTTCTTCGTCACTTACATTATTTGAATCAGTCTCGTAGTTATCTGGTTGCTGTATGTCCTGTATCTTGTTTGTTGGGAAACAATATCAATGCCGAAATATAGTCTTAAATAACAAAACTGGACCTTTTTTTTTTTTGGAATTCACTTGATGCAGAAGAACGTTTTAGTTCTAAAAGGATAGCAAACAGCATGACATAGTCCCGTGACGCTGGTGGTAAAGATCCCGCTTTGTCTTGAGTTGATTCGCTTCTTATAGTTCGTTGTCAAACAGTCCCTCATCACAACTTCTCCTCTGTCACTGTTTGCACTAATGGGAGAGACATGTGAGAGTGCTGACAAAGGCATGAAAGTATTTTAAGAAACGGGGCAATTCGACTTTTCGTGAATGAAGTCCACTTCGAATTCATAATTCTTTAAAGCGATTCCTTTACTGTGGTTCCAAAGTCTTGGGCGTATTACAAAGTACTAAATGAATGTTTTGTGTTAAAGTGAGATACCGCGTGTAGGTTTTCCACCTGCGTTGTCGGAAGTTTTTCGTACATCGATACAGACTTTGTCGACATCCTCTTTCGCGTCCCTCATTTTCGCGTACTTCAAAAAGTCATAAAGATATCCAGATAGAGATAGCCCTAGTGTTATCAAGGGCGCTCCTGACAGGGCAGTCGCGTAGGTTGCTATAACGGTGATACGCACATAAAATGCGTAAGGGCTGAAAGATTGCTGCTGTTTCACGGTCATCTCGTACCAAGTACAGGTTCCTTGTGATGATTTTGTTGACCAGCGCGTTGGTAGGGTGGTATGTCAACACCAGAGGGATGGTACCTGGCTCCCGTCTGGCTCTGAAATGAGCGCTGCACGGAAGTGGCAATAACTCGATCGCGGGCTTGACTAATAATCCGTTGCGGGTAGCCACGGCGTTTGAAAAGAAAAACAACAACAACAAAAAAACAACAACAACAAAAAAGAAAACCATCCATTTCTAGGCTCTTTTCTTTAAAATTAGTCTCGTTACTGTAGATGCACCGTAAGCGGAAAAACTGACTATAGGGGATAGTTTCCTAACGACGAGTGGGGTGCGAGAATGCATAATAAAGGTAAGAATGGGTATCAGTTGTATTGAAATTGTAATGTATGTTTTTAACGAGACGATCAGTTGTTGGCTTCAAAACCTGGTCGTGAGATGGACCAAGTAAACTTTACACTGGGATGAAAACCATCCACAAAGGTAGCAAAATCTTCGATTTCTTGTCTACTACCAGCGAAGGCTCTGGCAATGTCGTCGATATACCGCTTGTACAGATCGGGTGTTCACCTTGTCTACTGATCAGAGATTTGTTCCTCGATGTGACCCATAAACAGGCACACATAATTGGGCCCAAATCGACTCCCCATAGCGACTCCTCCGAGTTGCCTGTAATAGCGGAGCACCATGGGTAAGAAAACTTGGTTATCTATGCATGCAAGAAATTTTGGTTCTGAGAAAATCGTCCGTACGCGTCCGTACGTACGACCACCTCTTCATGTAAGCCGGGGTGAAATTTTGCATTTCAAGTACCCGCGCGTTTCGGCGGTAAATCGCAAAGCCAGCCGGGACTTTTAGAGATAAAAAGAAAGAACAACAACAACAACGCCGATTCTGATGGTGGAATAATGTAAATGATGGTGATGATGACAATAGCGTTGATAATGATGATGATGATGATGATGATGATGATGATGATGAAGATGATGATGATGAAGATGAAGATGATAAGGTTGTCGATAATGATGACTTAATTTTAATGTCTATATTGACGCGGATAACAGAGAAAGAGCTAGAGCTAAAAAACGAAGGAGACCAATTTTTTTGTAAGAATAACTTGAAAATTTTATATCGGCGGTGAGAAAATTAGAAATGCTAGCGGCCTCCAAGATGAAAATGAGTGGCAGTGAAAAAAAAAAAAGTGAACAGGAATACATACAAAATTTCCTCCATAAAACGTGTAACTAGGAAGTTTCTGGGAGTTTCACGTTGTAGTCGTGCACAACAACGGCAAAGAAATGTACAAAAAAAGTGTGCTGCACGTGCAAAGTTGTTTTTTTGCTAATTAGACCCATGTACTGATTTTTTTGGCTGTTTTTGTTGCCGCCGCTACTAAGCATTACACGATTTTATGTTTTGTTCCATTCAACTATAGATATTGACGAAAGCTTCGCTTTTACCCCCGGATAAATCTATATTACTTTCCATTCAAAGAGAAAGTATTCAATGTAGTTAAAAAGGAACTAACTCTGCGAGGCGAACAAGAGTGTGTGTTGATGGTTGAAGGACAGCTCTCTTATTAAGGAAATGTGTAAGAGCCAAGAGACCATCTCTGTTAGGGATGGTAGTGAGTTCAGGTATTTGATCTGGCCATGGTGAAAACATACTTATGCTCCCCAGGGAAACGAATAGATTCGGTGATACAAAGCATGTGTTTTGTATCTTACGTATAGCTGCGTTGATTTTGGACTAGCGGGTTGGTGATTGTGTCTTAGTACTTGGCAATAAGTTCTGCTGGGCAATTACATGCGGAGACAATATAGGCCTACCAGGATTACAAGGCTAGTGAATTTTCCGCAGCCGATAGAATCTTGACGTGCGAGGATTATACACAGTGAGATTCATGGCTGATTCCTTTAGTTCACTTTTCAAGATGACCGCCTTACCCTGCTAACCATGTTGTTATGTCTATGGTGTAGTTACGGTCTTCTTGTTGGTAGAAGTTGTTATCCGAGAATTGTCTTTCTGGCTCTTCTATATAAAGATGTCGAGCACAAACCGCCACCGCTTCTCCCTCATCCTCTGGCTTTATGATGATGTCACTGCGTTGCTGTGAAGATAATAGAGCGGCTCTTTGTTGTGGAGTGAGGTTGGTTCTCTTGAGGCGTTGCTTTAAGTCCACTTGCTAAACTCTCTTCGACATGTACACTTGTAGATGTAATAGTCTAAGGTGTAGAGTGTCCGGTAGGTTGAGTCCAAGTGGATGTCTTAGGCTTTAAAGATTCAGGGAGATTTTAGAGTTTGATGACGACAAAGTTAAACACTCTTGGTTTTAACACAAGCAACCCAAGCTCATGAAAGTTGGGTGTGATACGATGTTGCGTACCGTATTTCCTCTAATAATAGCCGTCCCTCGATTAATTAGTACAATTTTGCTGAAAAGTACCTTTCATGACCATAATATTAGTAATTATTGTTTGTGAGTACGATTTTCTTGAGTGTGTTTATTCAGTTATGCATTACTTAGTTTTTGTTTCATTTTTTATGCTTAATTTTTGGTTGAGAGCCACGCGTATATTATCTGTGGATATCAAGTGAAACCCTCATTAAAAAAGTATCTATCTATCTATCTATCTATCTATCTATCTGTCTGTCTGTCCGTCCGTCCGTCCGTCCGTGCGTCCGTCCGTCCGTCCGTCCGTCCGTCCGTCTATCTATCTATCTATCTATCTATCTATCTATCTATCTATCTATCTATCTATCTATCTATCTATCTATCTATCTATCTAACTGCGGCCTACAGGCCCCCTAGCTGTACGGTTGGCTTCTTTGAAGCTTTAGAAGCTATTGTTCGCATTATTGACATGGAATCTAAGGAACAAATTATCTTAGGCGATTTAAATTGCAATTATCTACCGGATAGAAATAACATGCACCTGTCTCAGTTGAAGCAATTAAGTTCGACCTATCAGTTTCAACAACTAATCAATGAACCTACTAGAATCACGCCAAATTCTAATACACTTATTGATATAATATTATCAAATGAACCCTCAAGGATTTTAAAATCAGGAGTGGTGCATATGGGATTAAGTGACCATAGTATGGTCTATGCAGTACGTAAGTTTGCCATTTCATCTAAAAACACTCATAAGCATGTGACCACTCGTTCTTTTAAAAACTTTAATGCAAGTGCTTTCAGAGAAGACCTAAAGTCAGCGCCCTGGGATAGCCTAAGAAATTGCACTACTCCCGATGAAATGGTTGAAATCTGGGAAAATATGTTTTTAAAAATAGCTGACGCTCATGCGCCCATAAGAACGCGGCGAGTAAGAAATAAAAAATCCCCTTGGATTACTACTGATCTGAGGGAGCTGATAACAGGTCGAAACAGACTGAAAAGGCAGGCTATATTAACAAAACAGCCATCTATCTGGGATAAATATAGAAAAGAAAGAAATAGAATAAATAATGAGATTAAAATGGCAAAAGCGAATTATTATAAATCAGAAGTGGAACAAAATGTGGGTAACCCGAAGGAAATATGGAGGACAATCAATGAATTAACATATCGTAAGTGCACTAGTAACTCTTCAATAAGTGAACTAAAAAGTGGTGATAATTCCTTCACAAAACCCGCAGAAATGTGTGAGATTTTAAATGACCATTTTACATCTGTCGGTCCAAACCTAGCCTCCACACTGCCTAGTGGAAATACAAGTTTTGACTCTTACATAAAGCCTGTTTCCACGACTTTTAATTTACAACATACCTCTGCCACTGAAGTTTTAAAGTTATTAGGTAAATTATCTCCGAACAAGGCCACTGGCCTTGATAACATCTCATGTCGGCTTCTAAAAGAAGCTGGCCCAATTATTGCCACTTCTTTAACCTGTATCATAAACAAAACCATAGATACTGGCCTCTTTCCTTCACAGTGGAAAATGGCTAAAGTATTTCCTTTGTATAAAAAGGATGATCGCACAGATGCACAAAACTATAGACCAATATCTGTCTTGCCAGCCATTTCTAAGATTTGTGAAAGGGTAGTCTACGATCAACTATACGGGTACTTAAATTCAAATGGCCTGTTAACAAAAAACCAGTCTGGATTTCGTTCCCTTCACTCTACAGTGACAGCGCTGTTACATTTAACAAATAATTGGTATCTTAACATTGACAAAGGCATGACCAATTTGATTGTGCTTCTCGATCTTGCCAAAGCCTTTGATACCGTTTCACATAATATTTTATTAAAAAAGCTTGAGCTCTATGGTCTGAAGGGTGTAACGCTCGACTGGTTTTCATCGTACCTATCAGATAGGCAACAGCAGTGTGTAGTAGAGGGCTGTGTATCTAAGCCCCAGTTGATAAGTTGTGGAGTTCCACAGGGTTCAATTTTAGGCCCTTTGTTGTTTTTAATTTATATCAATGATCTCCCTGGATGTCTTCTCCATACCAAAGCACACATGTATGCCGATGATACCACGATATATGCGTCCTCTGTATCCACTGCTGAACTATATGCCAAGGTAAATAATGACCTAACTCGCGTTAGGGACTGGCTTCTTGCAAATAAGTTAAGCTTAAATGTCACTAAAACGGAGTATATGTTCTTAACAACTACCTTCAAATTATCTAACTTAGGAAGAGACTTTCCAATTAAGATTGGCAACAATCATGTTAAACGAGTCCAAACAACAAAATATTTAGGAATTCACTTAGATGAAAATCTTAAATGGAACGAGCATGTTGACAAACTTTGTTCAAAAGTCAATCGATCCATCGGTGGTCTAAAACAGGCACGTGATTATGTACCATTAGATGTTCTAAATACTATTTACAAATATTTACAAAATTTTCGCTGTATATACTGTCATTTCGGGCAAATGTGTGTTTGTCATTAATTTTTAAGCTAAAATACATTAGTCCAAAGCTGCTGTAGCAAATGCCAGTATTTTCCTAGTAAGTGCTTGGTCTCTCAATACTCGATTATTTTAGACTTTCGATATCTGACGAGAATGGGAATTAACATATTTGCAAATTTTCATAAAAAGTCAGACTGTACTGCATAAACAATTGTGCGTAAATCGTTATCCAGTATATACATATATATTTTTACTTATGTGTGTTATACTGATAAACATTTTTGGGCGAATAACTTCTTTCTACCTGTATATTAATATTTATTACTAGTAAAAAATTTTGGCGAGGAGCTCTACGCGAGGACAACCACTCTGTATAATAATAAATATATTTATTATTTTACAGAATGATTGATCTCGCGTTGAGTTCCTCGCCTAGAATGTTTTACTAGTATATAGTTGTTAATATATAGGGTGATTGTCTTCGCGAAGAGTTTCTCGCCCAAATTTTTTTATTAGTATATATTTATTGTTTTACAGAATGATTGATCTGGCGTAGAATTCCTCGCCCGAATTTTTTTTCTAGTATATATGTGTTGTTTTTATATATAATGTTTTTACTGAGTAAAGTTAACATTGTTCGCACAAAATTATTTATACAGTACTGTCTCACTTTTTCGCAAAACATACCGCTGAGATACATTTGATCCTTTCGGTCTTCGAACAGACAAAGCCAAAATGACGTTGTGAACCGGCAGTGCCCAATAGCTAAATATTTTCAGCCCGCACAAAAACTAACAGAAAACGGTTTCGTTTCCTCAGAAGAACCGCCAGTTTTACCCTTTGCTATCTTCACCCATGAAAAGAAGCTTGTAAGCTTTCTAATAGAGATTATATTAAAACAAAATAAATATAGAGGCTTTCTGCCAATTTGTGTAAAAGCATGCATGCCTTGCGAAAATGGGTACAGGCTGAAGTAGGTTTCATCTACTTAGAATTGGATGACAAAATCAAATCGAAGTGTTACGTTTCACATTTTTGTTTTCGTGGCAAATATTAGGAAGAAACGAAAAAATGGCCGAAAGTGAAACATTTTTCATATTTTACCAAGTTGGCATAGATTGCTGAGTGTCCACATATTTGCCAGCATGTTTTGGACGGGCGCGTCGTCAAAGACGCAACTTCCTCTCTACTTTCAAGGCCTGCCGTATTGCGAATGCCCTCGCCCACGACAACCCGGAAAGAAAATACGTAGTGTTGTTAATAGTAATCCATTTTCAGAATTTCCATTTGCCCCTGGAATTTTCCAGTGGGACGAACCAAACAAACGTTTACCATTTATTTCACAACCGAAATTTCCGGGAATTTGTGGTAAATGGTAAACAACCGCTAATAATATTGATGACAAAAATGTTGCATTTCAACCTCGTTTCCAAGCTCCTCTCTGGATACTCGTCCTCACCAAGGCAGAGACTAGTACGAAGGACCGTGTGAAAGACGTTGATTGAATTTCTGTACACTATTCATACATCTCTTCGTATCCATATGTTTCCCTATGGTTAAACTTATCATTTACCCCTTGACTGAACGTTTCAACGGTCGTTCCACCGTACGCTAATTCGTTTTCGTTCGGTATCGCGTACATTTTTATAAGTATTAAACGGCGTCGCTTGCGCCCAAGGGGAGGAGGGTTTTGAAGGGTTTCAAAAGTGTTCTCGATTGTAGGATTTCAATTCTGTCAATTTACTTATCATTCTCAATAGCTCTTTAAGACAAGATATTTCTAAATTAATTCAAACAAGTTAGATAAGAGGAGAAAAAAGAAAACGACCCGAATAATAATAATATATGAACAAGTAACAAGACGACCCACGTAAGCTAAGCCAGTCGACTATAACGTCGGGCAAAATTTAGTGTGTCCAAGGTTCAAAAAAAGTAATAGATTAGAAAAGCAAAAATTATAACTCAGTATTGTGGGTGGGTTCTATAGTTTTAATGAATAAATAGATAGAGAGTTAAGTTGCGAAATGTCCTTATTCAGGATGTTGCAAGTTATGGATGCAGATATGTAGATATATGTTTCAAAAGAAACTGTGCTGTGTGGTGATAGCCTGCGAGTAGCAGGCTCACCGGTGCAATTTTGGGGAAAATTTTGGCTGCGGAACCGCCGGCGCGAGCTGACGAAGCCGGCAATAAGAATGCGGAATAGGCCGAGCTATTTTTTTCGCCGGCTAACGCTTGCGGATCGGTCGCTAAAATTTTCTCCGAAAGCGCCCAAGTAAGGTGCCTGCAGCGCGCAGGCGCCGGCCACGTTGTTAGGGAAATAAAACACAAAAATTTGGCTTAGCGAGAGCTAGAGACGTCAGCCATTGAACCTTTTCACGGTACTATTAACTTATAAAGCCAAGGTTTTACTGGATAAATGACTTACAGGACTGATTTTCATTGCAGTTACAGGTAAAATGTCCTTTAAAAATCAGTGTATCTATTGGCACAACTATTTCCGCACACTCCATCAGGTAAATAGCTTTGTAATTTCTAGCGCAGGTTGTGGAATTAGAGTAGAATTACTCTGAAAATTCAGAGAATAGGATTGAAATTTTTAAAATTTAACGGATGTTTTGTATATTGGGTTTGCAAAAAGGGAATTCCTAGGTGTCAATTTTGGAATCATGGGTTGAAGGGGTGGTTAATCTCATAATTCAGTTCATCTTCTTATGTCATTTATATTGATCTATCTTCCTTTTCCTTTTCTCTACTTAATTTCTTCCCAGTTATAAATTACTTTTATTTTCCTCTGCCCACCTCAATTAGCCAAGCTATTTGCGAGCAGAGGATGTTTGTGTTACATTTATGTATTGTGTTACATTTATTTATTGATTTAATTTACCTAATTTGATTTGTAACTTTTGAAGATCAGTAAACTTCAACTTTTAATTTACTTAACTTAATTTGTAACTTTAATTTGTAACTTATGAAGATCGATAAACTTCAACTTCAACTATAATAATAATAATAATAATAATGATAATAATAATAATAATAATGACTGTTTATTAAGACTAATTGCAGCAATATACATAATGGCTGAATTACAGAGCTATTTACAAAACATATAATACTTAAATATAATACAATAAATCCGATAAATACTAGAAAATATAATTGTACAAGCCACTAGGCATACTTATGCGTGACAAACTCTTGCGTGCGCTTGGTCCTACAGGTAGGACGCGTGGAGCAGCTAATGCCAGATCTAAGATTAAAATTAAAATTCTTCAACTTCATTGGTTCTAATTGTGAGGGAGATAATCTTATGATTTTGCGTTCTAGGGGTGAGCCTACACCCCAACCGAAAAAAAAAAAAAGGCGACACTGTCCAACCTCTATGTGCGACCAACTCTCAATCTTGACCACCTCCAATAAACGACTATCTGCCCAAAACACCCAAATGTTCCTAGTTAAATAATTACAGTAGGAGACTTCTCTTAAATTAACGACCCTCCGACCACGCAACTCCCACTTGAGGGTAACAGTTCTCTAAAGCAACATTACATGACCTTCATTGGGAAAAAACACTCAAACTAAAGAGGTATGTTTTGTCTATTTTCTATTTTAGAGGGTTAAATTTTTTTTTCTTCAGGTCCCCAATGTCACATGGTCCAATAGTCTTCAGAAAGAAGCGGAGGACTGGGTCAAATATCTAGCAGAAAACGACAAGTTTGAACATAGCGAAAAGAATCCTGGGAATTTATACCTGTCCCATCCTAACGATTACCCCGCAGAGTATTGCAGTGATGCTATACAGTGGTTTCATTGGGAGGAGAAGTATTACAATTACGACAAACCCGGTGATGTCTATAAAGCGGGACATTTTACACAGGTATGTTACTGGATGGTGATATAAACACGTCAATGACGTTATCATGGTCCAACATCTCGTTCCCGGGCTAATATTGAATATCGTTGTGCGGGGCATTTTATACACAGGTTGTATTAAAGCCTGATAAAAATTATCGAATGGTTTGATAGATTACGAAAATCTTGTACCGGGATATCCAGAGGAGTATTGCAGTGATGCTATACAGTGGTTCCATTGGGAGGAAAAGTTTTATAATTACGACAAACCCGGTTATAATCAAGCAGCGGGACATTTTACTACGGTATGAACAA